ATTTACGGGCCAAATCCTATAGACAACAAAGATTATGTAAAGTGGAAAATCCCAGAAAACTACTTGAAAATGAATGGATATTATTGGTGAACACACATTGAACCGCATCGTCTTAAATCACAATTCAGCCTGAAGTAGACAAACATGCTGTTTACTAATGTTTACATACATTCCATTAGGAAGTAGCCAACAGGGTCAAAATCTGTTAGGAGTGAAGCAGTTATCACCATCGACAATATAGTAAACTGTAACTGGAGTTAGACAAGTAAACCACTGAGTGCTAACTAAGTAGTCTAAAGGCAAAACGATCAGCAGATACTTTCAAAATCTTCACCTCAGTCTCTGTTCATGATGCTTGTGAGTCTCATGCTAGGATGAAATATTTGTTTAGTGTAATGATTGTTTAGTCAATATGAGTTTGTAAGGCAAAATGCCAACCATATTACTATTATCAGTGGAATCTATCTAAAATAATGTGCGATTTTTACATATTGAAATAATCAAACTAGTTTCGACTAATAAACACATTAAAATAAAATTAGACTCATTTCATGTGAATGTGCATAGGTCGTTGCTGTGGTAACTAACTCTATACCCTTGTTAAAAATTTTGACGGGGGATAATCGATAAATATATATATAAACCAAGGTCTACAAAATGTGTAAATATGCATACAAAAGCAAGTGTTTAAACACACACTCACAACAACAAATCATCGCCACATACACACAAATACTTATTATTGTGAACCAGCGGAAAGGTATGATGCAGTATGGAAAATCGATTATATATATATATATATATATATATATATATATATATATATATATATAATCATTTGACTTGCAGAAGAAATCATACACACATCAATAAAGTCTGGTTGCATAATTGCAAACTTTGAAACAAGCGACTACAGTTCTCCAGGACTAATAATCCAAAGAGCTAAATTATAACGAATACTTATGTACAAATATATATAATGATTTTATTGTGGCTGTAACATTCCAAAATCGAAAACTCCATATTAATCAGTAGTAATCAATAAGTATGTGGTCCAATCCAAATGAAAATGCTCAGGTTAGAGTTAATTTGATCGGATCACATGAATACTTTTTATTTTTACCAAATCTGTGGAACTAGACATGTACTATTTCTAGAGCTAACCTTTTCAAGCCTGCTCCTTATGTTATTGGAAGACAGCATCCCTATAGATGATTATTGTCTGAAAGAAACAACTTACTGATGTCACATGCAAGTACAGTCAACATAATGACAACGCACACGGACTGTACTATGAACATATTTATTGCACATTTTCCTTTAGTAACATTAAACTACTTCTGTTAAAGTGTGAGAAAATTTGAAGCGATTATTTATTATCCAAGTTTTTCAGTCAGATAATTACGATTATTAAATGAGTAGAATTATTTTACATATATATACGTGATTTGTCCATCTAACAGCATGTTTCCAACCTCAGCTGGTCGATAAGGGGAAGAAAAAACAAATTTCGAACAAGAATAAAGCGAGAATGTATGTATAACAATGTCGAGATCTAAACAAACACACTGATAATATGATTTTGCCTTATAAAAGAAACAAGATGAATGAAACATTGATTTTTCTGTTTATTATTATCACTATCAGTCAGTTTGTTTACACAATATCAAATACCAAACGATTATACATGCGTATTGTTTATATTCAGATGGCGCTGGAAACTTCAAGATTCACGAAAAAAACATTTGGTTAAAGAGTGTTGTGGAAGTTGACGTAATCTGTAAGGCCCCCAAATGCCCTGGTACGGTCGCGAGTGGAGAGAGTCCACTATACCTTTCGAAATGCTTCCACATGGCTACGCGTATATAGCCTCTGCTAGGGAAGTCCTACTCATAGCCTTCTCGCACCATGGGTGTTGTTTACGAAATCGAGAGGACGAAAAGCGAACGTCAGGCGCTTTAACCGGGTTGGTGGACATGGAGAGTCCACCTAGTTGAGTTGGAAAACCCTCATTCCAAACCAATGGTGCGCATGGGCTCCAGGATCCTGAAGGAACAAATGGCGTACGAACCGATCGTTGGTCACCGGCTACCATGGGACTGCATCACTTGACGATGCTCCACTGCCTTGTGGATCAGACCTTCAGGTCGAAGGCTCAAGGAGTGGCCCCCTTAGAAATCCACCTGCTTCGGTTTGGGCAACCGGACAGTATCACAGTCCTCACACATATCGAATGAGATTTGTGTGGCGCATATGTATTTGGTGCCTCCTTCTACCAATATCTATGTGTTAAAATAATAGATAAATAAAGAATACATTTTGAGATGACATTTAAGTTAACGACTGATTTCTATACACTTTAGTGTACTATTCAACAGCACACGAATTAAATGTTGGACATGTTACATATGTATAGTAAACAAGAAAACATCATAATCATAAGTGAAAACAGTTATGAAATTGGATTTCATTAGTGATTGAGGATTATAATTGTTGAAATAAAAAAAACCCAATGCCAATAGATAGATAATATGTACCAATACAAAGTGGCCAAGTGACGGATGTTCGCGAAAACGAATTATTGACATAAGCACCTGACTAAACTAGTATGCCACAAGCCAAGGTAGCTAGCTGTTCAGTCGAACTCATGTTTACCTCCAACTAAACAAGACGTTTATATTACAAAATATTAAACATCAAGATTAACATGATTATGTCATTAGCGATTGGAGAAAATTTACTTTGTAAGTCAGTCAATTTATAACTTGTCCATTATATTTCAAAAACAAGCCATCCTGATATTACAAAACGAGCAAAAATCATACATTAGTTTACAGTTGACGATTAATTTATGTTATAAGAAGTCTACCTTGTTCTCTAACAGAAAATGGGACATGATATAATCAAAAATCTACTATATATTGGTCAAACTAAGCGAATAGATTAAATGCAACACAGTGGCCTAATACAAATATATGTATTTGTGGCTTTGATCTATTGAAATAAGAGGAATGTGTTTCGAAATTTCAGTCAAACGGTTGAAATTTCACCGATAAAACTATTTTATGGCAGTATCAACGAAATGATTTCTAGCAGTGGTATTAATATATTCAAATTATTTAGATGAATGAACTATATAATTTTACACTGTTGGTTACGAAAGTTTTGCGAGACTGGACTAGGTAGTCTGTGTCTGCCCACATTGTTCAGTCTACATGCCAATAACTTCATAGATTGGAGGAACATCTCAGTTTGTCCATTCTTAGATTTCCTTCAACCTAGTCATACACCAGCCAACACCATCCATCAAGGTAAACGGTGGGTGGGCATATGTAACACATTTTTCCAACCAACTCAGTTACTTAATGTTATGCTCATCAGTCCAATGTCCTACAGTGAGAGTTAATAATAGTTCTGTCTTTTTCCGAAAAACCCCAGATTTTTAATAAATCTTTCTTGATTTTCTAAACAGTTGTCTATTGTTACCTATAGCCGATACCTTTTCTATTTCTCGTGCTTTCGCTACGCACCACTGCTCACGATCATTGCAAAGGCTCTTTGCCAGCTCTTGTTCTTGACTAAATGTTAAGTCAAGTGTAATTACTAACTCTTTTCTTCTAAGATATTTTTACCATAGTATTTCTTATATCAAGATTTGGATTGTAGCTGTATCTCATAGTGTGGGCGTTCTCTTTCGCTGTGATGATATGAAATACGATCACTAGGACCGACATATATAAATATATATCATGGCAGGTCATACGCTGACTGATACAGCTTTAGCTTATTTTCCTAACATTACCTAAATTATGTAGTTATTGATTGGAGAAATCTGAACGAACAATACACTCGGTGAAAGATAATCAATGTTTATAATGAAGAGTTGGAAAAAAGTATCAGAAATGAGTCAATAGTTACCTCAATTAGTACATAACGATTCTATGTATGTATGTCTATGTACTTGAACCTGGGTGTGATGACTGATGATCATACCTACGTTCGCTAAACCGAAGTAAATGCAGTTAGGTTCGGACATGATACCCAGTAGTTGGAATTTGACGGATTTAAACGCAAAGCACAGTTAGCTCTATTTTATTATAATTATATTACTTATCTATATGGTGTGCGGATAACCATCCATTTTCCAATGTTCTATAAAGGTTTAATATCTAGCACTTTTGAACATTTTTCCCCATTCATTTAGTCCGTCAGTGAAGCACAGAAGAGCATAATTTTAAGTGAGGATTTCATTTCAGTCATCTTAAGTTATCTTCATATGTTTTCTATGAACATGACACTGTAGCTCATTCCAACTTGCTAGGTGAAAAAACAGTAAATCAATAAGGAGCTACATCTTGAAGTGAAATCCTGACTGGAAATTATTCCCTTGTATCCAACATTTAGTTACTAAATGAACGGAAAAATGACACATACTGGGCATTCAAAGGCGAATGTGCTACAAATTCACGGTCAGCTATAGGATCTTGTATTATATATATAATTAAAGAACATAAGGAACTCAGAACAACCGTCAACCAATATAAAAGTCTGAATCTTCAATACGAACGTCAAGACAGTTCTACTGTATGGAGCCGAAACTTCGAGAACTACCTCAACATCACGAGAAAGGTACAATTATTTATAAACAACTGTCTACACAAGATACTGGGAGAAAACAAACCAACTTCCATCTGAAGAGGAAATTAAGGAAAAACGATGGGAGTGGTAGATAGGGCATACACTGTGAAAATCATCAGACTGCATCAGGAGAAAAGCCTTAATATGGAATCCTGAAGAGAAAATTAAGGGAGGAAGATCAAGGAATACAATGCATCGGAAATTGGGAGCAGACATCAAAAGAATGAATAGTAACTGGAAATGATTGTCCAGAACAGAGTTCGGTGAAGAATCCTGGTGGGCAGCCCATGCTGCTACATGAGGGGTAATAGGTGTAAGTAAGGAAGTAATGTATATATAGTAAATCAAACATAACTACTTACTTCAAGTTTAAACGTGCCAACTCGGATTGTGAAAACGCTTTACACATAGATCGAGTAGTGTTTGTATTACACGAAATGGGATTGACAGATAATAGCTTTTGACGATTACATAATAAACTATTTCGATCTGGACTATAACGATAAGGACTATGGACAATGTTTGGAGTAGCGATAGCGGTAGTATTTGCTCGTGAATTGGCTAATATTGTTAAAATTAAACGCATATTATTACTATTATTACTGCTATTATTATTACTACTGTTAATATTACTATTAGTATTATTATGAGTGATAACAGATGCACTAGTATGATTGTTATTATAACTACTATTTATCATATTGACAACGTTATTCGTGTTATAAAACGGTAGAGGATAAGAACAATATTGAATATTTTGTAAATTTGTTAACGAATCATTTGATTTCGGATTAGTGTAATACGATAATGTGTGATATTCCTTTTGGTTTGATGATGATGACGATGATGATGATAATAATTTACTGACTGGTGTTGATGATAAAGATGCTGCATTGAGCATTATCGACGAAGATGATGATAGCGATGGCATAGATGAAGTAGTGTTGTTATTATTACTATTAGCTAAAAGTGTTTGTTGTGACTGTTGACTAACAACAACCGTCCTATCTCTTGACTGATTATAATTTGTTATTAAATCTGTTGAATGATGATGGCGATGATGATTATTACCAGTATTGATAACACCAGTGAACTCATTATTTATCGTATTTACATATTGTTGATGTAGAACTGCATATTCATCTGTGTTGAACGACTGTGGGTTGGGTGAAAATGAAGAAATTGGTAAAGATAATCTGTTATTATTGAATGGTGTTGTTAAATAACCACCTTGACCAGTTGCCGTTGATACCCATAGATTATTCGAATTCCAATATCCAGGATACCATGCACTGTTAGTTGGATCGTAAACACCATCCATAGGAAGTGTTGTATACCCATTCAACTGATTATTTAACGGTGTACTGTTACTACTTGCATAAGATGAAGCATTGCAATAATCGAACTGGTTGATTAGAGATGGATCATTTGTTTTAGACGATACATTACTATTATTCATGGTAGTAGTAGTAGTAGGAGAAGTAGCAATAGCGACAGACCGAGGCATAGGCATAATTAAACTAGGCGGATGAACAATTGTATTAGGATTTTCCGATAAGGATACCTTCGAAATTAAATTAAATTGTTAAAAATAACAAAATTTTCATATAAATTTTAAAAATATTTCAAAGTATTTGAAGTTATTAAAAATTGGATAAACGTAAATGAACAGTCATTGCGAAGTCAATTCAATGAATATTGTGTTAATATATTCACTCAATTCGACTGGATTATTTAAAGTTTAATTTAAATCATTATTTGATAACATTGTACAGAATTGTACATCATGACGTGATTTTTGTACATTTTTAGGGAGATAGTAAATTAATAGACAACTCGTAGAAGATATTCATAAGTTACTAGTATCTGTTTATAAGTAATTTCGAAGAATAGCTCGAGTATGTTGAGATCACTGGAGCGGCGCTGAGGTTAAAGATAGAATACTAAGGTGAAAATGGAAAATTGATTGAAAATACAGTGAATGTCCATTGAATAAGATGGTTAAGAAATGTTCATTGAACCACCATCCACCTCAAATATTGTCTACTGATATTACTTCTAATATTGTCACTATTTCTACTACTCTGGAGTTTGTTTTGATAGTTTCATCAAGCTGTATTAATGTGGTGTAACAACTTGAACCGATGCACATATGTGGTAGGTTCTAGGCAAGAATGACTGGCTTAGTAAACGACCAGAGTAAAACAGGGGGTAGATTAAATGTTTAAATCTAGTTCAATTGACACAAGTTTTAAAGCCCAAAACCATTAAACCATTGCTTTAAGCTGATTATAACCATATCTAGTTGACCATTCTGCTTGTGTTATATAATAAAACATATTTAATTAGATAAAGATCGTAAGTCGTACAAATAAGCATTTATCCAACTCTATTGTTTTAAGAAACAAATCCAACGATCATTTCAATCTCGATATGAAGTAGTTATAATTTGATGAATTAAGTACTAAACTTTCAATCACCCAGTCTCAGATTCTAGCTATTCTCCATCTGATTCAGTTAAGGGAACCTGAAACACTGTCACTAACGCCCAAATAAAACGTGTAGCCTAAAAATGAGTGCCTGAATCTGCTCAGATTGTTGGGCATCGGTAGTTTAATAATGATGGGCAAAAGTAAACGGGTCTTGGCTGGAATTTCGAAATTTATTTCTATCTTTGATTAGTCATAAGTTATGTGGTAGACAACTCAGTAATGCTACCTTGGTTAGATATCATGGTACATACATTAAATCTCAAATTTCACAATATATTCGGTCTGTTGTCTAGTAGTTTAGTCTTTCGAAATTGTGTCGGCTCACCTATGAATCATGGTAATTTATATGCGTTGCTTACAGCTAAGCGTGATTCTAGTGTAGAATTATCGACGTGTAGTATTTTGGTTTAGCCAAATCCTGAAAGAATAGCATATGTTTACTCTATTACATCCCAGAAAGTGATATGAATTCTAGTCGTCTTAGTAAGAGATTTACCTAATACATATTAAAGCCAGAATAACACTGATTGGTCTACTTTCAACCAATCAGTGCTAGTGGGAAGATCGGGATGGTAGAAAATTTGTTATTGAAGGATGCTATCGGAATACATTCACAACACTTTTGTTTCACACAAACATCCTATTTTTGGTATTACTAAAAACAATATTCGAACCTGAGACTTCAGTACCGATTCATTACAAATGTTCCCACTTCAAGAGCATGCTGACTAATATCACGAGCTAAACACCGACCATAATGTGAGCTGACTTTTTCATCGTTATTTTCTCTGTAGCCACATCTTCTACTTACGATATATGAAAGTATGTATGATTTCGTGTTCGGATGTGGATTGATGAACACACTAGATATTTCACCACTATATCAATGAAACGTTTCTGTCCTAGTTCTGACGTGAAGTCGCTATTTTGATGGAGAATATTCAATTAGGGTAGTATTATTGAGTTGTTTAGTAGCTAAAAACGTGTTTAATCAAGGCTATGAATAAAGGCAACAAAGTAACTAGTATTTCTTTATGCCCATCATACCACTAATCAATCAAGTTGAATTGAGGTAAAACCACAAACGCAACGCATAAGACTTCACATTGAAACCAAGAATTTGAATCTGAATTTCCACTTTATTTTAAAATACTATAACGAACGTGATTATACCATCTCTTTTTGAATGTATCGGAGAGTTGTTATTTTTAATTATTAAACAACTAATGTACCTAACACTAAAAAAGGATCACAGTGTTTCAAATTCAGCTGAGTCAACCTGTTAAACCCGAACACACTGAAAAATACTTTCGCGAATATGATGTTATTCAATACACTTACTGAAGCAAAAGTATTTGGGTTTGTAGAATAATTTGCCTCAGCTTGATGTGCTTGATTTGGCAAAGACCCATGTATAGGATCTGGTCCCGATTGTACCATCATACATGTATTTGGAGACGAATGGTCCAGATTCAACTTAGACATAGCTAATTGAGTTTGATAATATTGTTTCTGGTATTCAGGATCCTGGTTGTACCAAAAATAATATGGTATTTGAGAAGCTGATGGACAACACAGTGCTGAAGTTGAGTAGTTATTCAACATAGTTGGAGACAATACTAAAGGTGGTTGTAGAGCTGTTCCATTGTTTGGAAAATTATAAGATTGAGCGAAAAGATTGTAAGAAAGACATTGTGGACATTGAGGCAAGCAACAAGATACACGATGTAAATAAGACTGTAAATGACTGGTCGGTGTGCATAAGTCTGGACTGTTTAAATTATATTCTGGGCTTGTATAAATTGAGGGGACACAATTCATAGTATCAGAATTAGGAAGCGTCCGTGGATTAGACTCTGGCTGACGTAGGAAACTATACGGATCTGAATAACGGTACTGTGAATGTTGCGGTTGAAGCTGGCTTGTTACAGGATTCATGTCTGAACAAGATGGAACTGACTGAGATATTGGTGGATGATTAGTTCTTTCGAATGAACTTTTATAATTATTGGTGGAATGTGTAGATGCTAGAAAATAACAAAGATTGAAACAGCATTAACAAATATACAAGAAAGAACATTTATGAACATCGACTTAATATTCATTTATATTAGTTGTTTTTGAATCTTTCCACTGATAATTAAGACTGGAATCGGTCACTCATCCTGTTATGTAAGTAAGTAGCGAAGTGGATAGCGCGATGGCGTTTCAGGTGGACGGTGCTTTGTTCGAGTCCGGAAGCGAATATCAACTCTGGGATGCAAGCACATCCAGATGACCAGTCTCTAATGGGGCGAAACGTATATCCTGGATTTTCCTGCTACCTACTATCCATCTTTTTTTATAACTGACTTAATATACATGATTTTACCAGCCCAATAGGAACTGATATTTCACCGTGGAAAGACAAGAGTTAGTTCGTAATTGTGAACATTATTACTTTTTTCTATTTTGGAGGATCATGTTATAGAACTTCACAATACGATTATATAACTTACAAATATTCGAAGTAAACTTGTCGAACCAAAACAAATATCAAACCAAAGGGATTTTGACCACCACTACCTTGATGTACTTGTGTGTTTGGTAAAACCTATCAATTAGAATTGTTAAAGATAACAATAAGATCCTCTATAAAAAATCATAAGGCCAATAGGATTGTATTTACTGCTGAGTAGGACTCTGTAAAACAAAACGTCGATTACGCAGGTTTCGAATTAGTTTGTCATTGTAGTATCAACTATTAAATAAACTCGCCGGCAGTTAACATGGTCTTGTTCATACCAAAGCCACTAGTTCGACGAATACAGTGTCATTACTAAACTAATAACCCACCAATAAACTTTTAAAAAGTTATGAAGCTACCGTTGCTACATTGTGAAAAGAACTCACAGGTTTTTTTGTTCCCATAAGAATCAGATGAATTTTGAGACTGTTTATTGTGTGAGACTTCACAACCAGAAGAAGCTTGCATTTCTGTCGCATAAGAAGCCATAACAGTAAGCCAACTTACATTTGATTACAGAAATATTTGATGGCTTCAGAATTTAATCAAAACATAGAGCAAAAAGTAATAAAATGGCAACAATGCTGCAAAATGCATGCAATTAAATAAATAAAGAAATTATCACAAAAATCTGGACATGTGTATGGGAATGATGGCCAAGTATTTTTGGGGTATTTTACTTATTGTAATGACTTGAGTGGGTTACAAGTATCACGTAAAAAATAAAGCAACTAGAAAGAATCATCTGGTAAAGTTGTTAACTATGACGTTTTATGCATGGAGAATCGAAGAAATCTTGACTAGGTTGTTAGGGTACACTATGTGACAGGAAAACGCAATTAAGAGTACAAAAGCTGACTCATTTGGATTGTGATTAAAAACATAATTATATGGATATAGTTATTGATGGAAAATTCATTGAAATGTAGCCATTAATTTTATCTACTGAAACTCAGAAACCAAGGCCAGTCTGGTATTTTGATTTAAACATTTTGAGTTGGTAGTACTACGCAGTTATTAAGGTAGAGTAAAATTCAAGCCCGCAAACTAACGATTTAACGTGGTGAAATTTAACTGCTGACCTATCACAGCACGCAACAATGTTCTTGCCACAATTTCAATTACGTTTATAAGTTTTTGTACAAGATGTAGGAGCCTTAAATAATCTGTAAAATGTAGAAACATAGAAACTCAATGTAAAAGAATATGGTGGAATCGCTAGTCGACTAGTTTTGTATTTTATACTCACAGCTTCTCAGTCTACCTTATTTATGTGTATTACAACTTACAATTAGGTTATTCTAGCCACTATGTTGTCTGAACACTTCAAACTCAGCCTAACAGACTATGATTAAAAAAGACAGAAACTTATACAAAGTGAGAAGTTATGTTATGATTACGAGTAATGTAAAGAGGTGGGAACCGTTAGCTAAGGCATCAGTGATAACCTTGAAACACAAACACCTACTAATCTATTTTAAACTAAACAATATGTGAACAAAAACAACTGGTCGGTAATGTATTATATCGACTTTTGAGAGTTCGTCGTACCTGTAAAAATGGGCTGATGTGTATTTGTACCAAACTATACGTTGCGACTGAGTGTTGTAAATACTGTATCGAATAATTACAAGCTTTTATCTAACCGATAGCGTATATGCCCTTTACCGACTCATATTCGTTTTACTAACCACGCTCATACTTCACGACCAGTTAATTCGAAGTAAATTAAGTGCCTCCAAATGCCCTGGTATGGCTGAGTGTGGCGGTCCGCCATTCCTCTCGAAATACTCTCACACGACCACGCATACACAGCTTCTGCCAGAGAAGTCCTACTCACTGCCTTCTCGCACATTGGGTGTTGTTTACGAAAATGAGAGGTTGAAAAGCGAATGTCCGGCACTTTAACCGGATCCCAAATCAATGGTACACATAGGCTCCAGTATCCTGAATAAACAAATGGCGTATGAACCAATTGTTGGTCACCGGCTACCATGGGACTGCATCTCCTTACGATGCTCCACTGCCTTGTGGATCGGACCTTCAGGTCGAAGGCTAGGGGAGTGGCCCCCTTAGAAATCCACCTGCTTCGGTTTGGGCAACCGGGCAGTATCACAGCCCTCACACATATCGGATGAGATTTGTGTGGCGCATATGTATTTGGTGCCTCCTTGTACCAATATCTATGTGTTAAAATAATAAATAATAATAAAATAAGTACAAGGATAATTCTGCATAGACCGAGACAGCTTCCAAACAAAGCTACGGTTGGCTCTATGTTCTATAACATATAATTAACTCAAAACTCTCGCTATCAACAGTCATATACTGCCGTCCTATAAGAGATGCAAAGTATATTTGAAGTGATGACTTCTTCACTAATACCATCTAGGAAGTCACTGTGAGAAGTGAACTGTGGATAAATAAAGTCACGCGGTGAGCGTAATTATCTGAAAGAACATTAAGAATGTTGAAAATAAATATGACACTAACAAAGAAATAATATATAAGTATATTAAGCGTTGCGTAATACTATAAATATTTCTAGCAAACATAACGCAGCTAATGACATCTCGCTACTATAGTAGCAACATAAAAATAAAGAGTTAATTGACCACCAACTACATCAATAACTTCAGCGTCTCAAAAGGAAACTATACGAACATTCTCAATCACAAATATGCCAGCAACGTTGCTCTTCAAACACCCCACATACTTTAGTTTCGTGCTTTTGACCTTGAGAAAGTTAACACTCAAGTGGATAAACGAAAAGACTTGCCTTTTAATTTATTCATTTCATCATTACGCATATGTGTTTTGCAGTGATCTTGTGAGCAGTGATCGATGTGTCATGCAATGAGAGCTCAAAACTGGGACGGAAGGACAACGGCAAATTTTACTTAAGCAACGATTTTATAGGCAATAATGGTAATTGTACAAATTAGTTGTAAGAAAAAGTTTGAATGAAGACAAAAACTGTTTACGAACTGAAACCAATTGATTCAAAGCATGAAACATTTTGTCGAACTGTGCTCTCTTATGTGTTAAGAATAAGGTTAACTGACAATGATCTATTAGTAGCTTCCTAAGTACGTTGAACGAAGGGTGAAAAAGTTTGTCAGGATATACAACATTCTCTCATGAAGTATAGGCTTATTTACCGATAACGCAAACAAAACTACTTGGGATGCTGTCTTCCTTGAGAATACGTGACTATCATAAGCATCAGAACACTACATAAAATATCCCAGTTTCCACAGTGACGCGTTTACAAAATATTTCTTTGTGTCCGTTTGTACTGTGGCGCCAGATGTGAATACAAAATAAGCTAACGAAATACTAATGTCTCTAATGAGTCTAGAACTTTGACAAGAAACAGTCAAGAACACAAAATCGGAGTACTGTAAGGCCAGCGAAATGTCACTGGGCCCTAGCTAAATCATCCGGAAGTCAATTTATTGAATATTGAACAGTCACTGATCCTCGCCAAGTTCAAGGACAATCAACGCGTATCAATAAATCGCATGCCATGAACTGGCTCTTGCAGTGGTAATCTCAATCTCTTCATCCTATCTACTTTCAATAATATATTTCTGTCATAACGTGCTTTGTGTTATATGATCCATAGCACCTTGATACGACGAAACGGTAATCCACGTGAGATGCTGGCCGCGAGGTGTGACTTAGAGGTTAGCTTTCCTTCAAACTCGAATGGGCCCCCATTATCCGACACAGATCATCTACGTTGGTGACATACAGTACGCGATATGAAGTTGTATTGTATTATTATGATTGGTTTAAACACAGCACAAAATATTTAATTGTGTAGTTAGCCGCCATCATCGCGGCTTTAAAAGAAAATAAGGATATGGTCATTCACTCTAATCTGTGACCCGTATTTGTTTGTGATTTTTAACATCATTCTAACACTCAACAATGATTTACTGTCACTAGTTTTGATTTCGTCATTTTCTTCGAAATATGAGTGACCGGTCTAACCGTCTATGTGCTTTGAGAGAGCATCCGAATTTACATGGTTTACAGGTTCTTGTATTGGTCATACGTCTTATTCTCAAGACACTGAAAGTATTACATCACATCAAGTTGACAACTGTGTGGGAGATAGTGTAACGTCATGTGCTATGTTAAACCCACTTAGTGTAGATCACTAGCGTAGATGATCTATATCGAATGATCGGAAGCCTATTCGAGTTAGACGGCAATGGTGTGAATGACCAGCTGACGTCGAAGTCACACTTCGTGGTCGGCACCTTACGTGGACTACTCGACTGACGTATCAAGAGAGTACAGATGCTTTGAAGCCTGGACAACACAAATGATGTTATTACAGAAATATATTCGTTAAAATTGGTACAAGCGAAAGCAAGACCACCGCCTCATGGGCCAGTCCACGGCATGCGATTAACTGATACGCGTTGGTCGTCCTTGATCTTGACAGGGATTGATCAGCCCAATATTCAGTGGTCCAACTGCCGGATGATTTGTTTAGGGCTTAGTAACATTTACTAGCCCTGCAATAGTTTATTCTGGCTTTCAGCAAACCAGTCTGTTCATTCTCTTTAAGCTGCATTTTGACCTCGTCACTCATTTGCTTTTTCATTTTGAATTTTTAGATGAGCGCATGTGTGTGCATTTTCTCAATTACTCACCACATGTCGGTAACTTATTTTTATCTGAATATGAATAACAATTCACGCTTGGTTAAATGGAGTTGGCTCATTCGCCTTCTCCTCCGCTCTTTATTTCACTTCTCTCTTTTCTACGCCATATTTGCTCCGTTTCCTTGATTGTCTGTGCCAATCTACGATAGTACAAAGTATATATATCCAAACTGCATTCTCGTATTCCACTTCTTTAAGTCCGTCATTCACTAGCGCGATTTAAGTCGATGATGATTGCTAGGATGTGTATTTTGACATCAATCATTCGATAACAAGCAACAAACGATCTATCTAAAGTCATATCCGGGACCGCCGAAACTTGCGGTTTACAACAAGTAAGTTCTAATTAAATTAATATTTTGGCCGTGCATTCTAATAACAAGTATTATTACGCAAAACCAAAAAAAGTATGGAGTTTGGTAAATAGTAATTTGGAAAATCTTGCACATTAAATGCGTTGTTCATATTTTAGGTCCTTCTGGGATAAACGAATGCAAGGTGAGTTTTTTATGGTTGGATTTTCACCGCTTAGAGTGATTATTTCGGAAACTGAAAAAACTTTAACATTCAGCTTATTTATATTCCCGTTATCATGGTTTCTATGTTTAACACCCACTTTCAGTTCAGTCTAATGTGGTAGCATTATGTCAACCTGTCAGACTTGATTTCCTGGTTGAGAGAAATGTTTATATCTATCGTTACGATGCACAATTAAATTTCAGGTAAGGTTCTCAGCAATTCTCAGCATATTTATTATTTTCTTATTTCTATAAGAGTTTTCGAGTGAATATATAAATTAAAACGCATGAGGTAATCTTAATGGTGCACGATAAATCCCGGTTTAAAGAAAACCTGCTTGAAAATTTATGAATATAACTTTCAAGACGGCATCTAGGACGCACGATGAAGCTTCTAGAGGCTATAAAGGAAACTGAAGAGTTTCTTCTTGAATATTAACGCTGCACGTTACGCTTGGAAAGTAGCTTAATGTGTTTTCTTACCGATTTGCTGAATTATAGTAACGACATATCTAGCACTAATATCTAAAACTACCCATGATTTTCTGTACATTTTTAGTTCCTACCGAACAATCAGTTTTCCTGCTTCTTTTGTCTTCTGATCTGAGACTGCAGGAGTTTACATACATTTGAGTACCATTGATTATATATCGTATTATGCGTTAATCAGGTAGCGTACGTAACAAATACATATGTCATTTTTGTGTCTGCATTCAAAATTTTGGTTCTAACATTTGTCTCTCTAATCACCAAACATCGTAATATTATGAGTGTAATGTCAAGTTTACTGGAATAGTGTCCATGTCGCAACTAGATGAATTAGAATTAATCAGTCTTAAGAACAAGACAACAGGATTGATAAGTTTATCAGGTTTTCTGCCTAAGGTTATTAGGATAATTTTCTGAAAACAAGATTTAACAATATATACATTCACATCCTACATTTTATTTGATAAAAACAGTAGCTCATTAAAAATTGTTTCATGCGTACTTAATACTGTTTGTGATGTGAATTCATTAGGTGAAAGTGAAATGTTTTCTACTTCTTAGATTTCAACTCGAATCCACGCAACATTATTTGAAACGAAGTCACTATTGAGTTGACCAATGTTTGTGTTCTTTTGCAAAGTCGGGCTCAGTGATTTGCCTCCAAATGCCCTGGTATGGCTGAGAGTGTGGCGGTCCGCCATTCCTCTCGAAATACTCTCACACGACCACGCATACACAGCTTCTGCCAGAGAAGTCCTACTCACTGCCTTCTCGCACATTGGGTGTTGTTTACGAAAATGAGAGGTTGAAAAGCGAATGTCCGGCACTTTAACCGGATCCCAAATCAATGGTACACATAGGCTCCAGTATCCTGAATAAACAAATGGCGTATGAACCAATTGTTGGTCACCGGCTACCATGGGACTGCATCTCCTTACGATGCTCCACTGCCTTGTGGATCGGACCTTCAGGTCGAAGGCTAGGGGAGTGGCCCCCTTAGAAATCCACCTGCTTCGGTTTGGGCAACCGTGCAGTATCTCAGCCCGCACACAAAAGCATGATAAACTGTCTACTGATGAAAAATATCCCTCTCGCTCCCAATGACCATCAAGTGACTAGCATTATTTTTATTACTATTATTATTATTATTATTATTTACTACGTCAATATTCGCCCTCTTTTATTCCTACTCCGTCTATACTTATTTTTTCGACTTATACAGTAGCTCGTCTTTGGTGGAAATTCGACTGTATCTAAACGTTCTCGAGTCACTGTCCGTTTGAAAATTGTATGTTACCATCGAATATGAGTTCTGAAGCAGTTTTTCTGAAACCACGTGCACCATTCAAACTAACTGCCTTCAACGTTCGCACGCTTATGCAGGTCAGACAACAGATAAGGCTGGCTATGTCTTTGAAAAGTATTAATATCGATGTCTGCTGTCTATCCGAGACCCGTATTCAAGACTCTGGTGAAGTGCTACAAATACGCTCTCCATCTGTCGCTTCGAAAAGCTTGTTTTGCGTGCGCTTACCTGGGGACCCTGTGGCATCTTCGTCTGTTCTTGCTGGCATCGGTGTCACACTAAGCGCTAGAGCTGAGGCAGCACTAGTCGATCGGATCCCCATTAACGGTCGGTTATGTGCTGTTAGATTAGAGAGTTCCATCGAAGTGAGGAGAAATCGGCGTGAGAAACGATGTCTTTTCGTAATCTTCACCTATGCTCCGACAGATTGCAGCAATCAAGGATGAGTTTTACCACCAGTTATCTGTTCTTCTCCAGAAAGTGCGTTCGACAGATATTGTTGTTAGGATAGTCGGAAAAAGAGACCAATAATTACCATGTTAAGTTCAATGGTGTCCTTGAACCTTAAATGTACATTTCTTATTGGTCGATGTTTATTTCACTTGTTAAATAGTGTACAAATGTTGTTTCCCATTTTATGGTACGATGTGGTTTGTTTGCTTGGTATATAAATAGAGTATGTTTGAAATACAATGATTCATAACCCAGAGGCTGTGACTTGTGT